ACACACACACACACACACACGTCCACACAGCATGGGCTGCTTTTGTTCTTTAATATACATATGCTGATTTCATGTTAATAATTTCAGTTGATTGGATGCGTTTGAGTCTTCGGAGCAGGTGTGAGGATCCCTGATCGCTCCACTAATGTGGAGAGCGGAGGAACTCAACAGTCAACAGTGGAACGCTGTGGCCGTACTGGGCAGCTCCCAGTATGAATGTTCTTAACTGTGTGTGTGCACGCCGTGTGTGTCGTGTTTTGTCGTGTGTGTGCACACCGTGTGTGTCACGTGTGTACGTAAGGGTGGGCGGAAGAAAACAGAATGTGAACCACAAACATGTTTGGATGTCCTGCAGGCCCAGAGAGCAAACAGCAAGGTCGGAAAATCCTGTTTTAACAGCATAATACCTGTCCGAGAACAAATATGAATCTCTTAACTACTCAAGAGTACCAGAAATCAAGCATGAACCTTTTAAGAAGGATGGGATCATTGCAGGTCTGTTAAATTAGATGACATTATTTTCTAGCTAGGTGTACCTAATGAAACAAAGCAATGTGACATCACATCACTGGTTGTGGCCAAAATGTAGAAGAGTTATGAGCAGTTCCACCAATGAGTGATGTTTAATTTTTATATCGCACCACACATGAAGGCCTCAACCAATCACGTTCTGTCATACGTGACATATTCAAAACATGCACTATAGTGTTCAACAACACTGAGGCTTCGGACCAAGACTGCAAACTTTATTGCTCCTGTCATCCTTGACAAAGGCCGAGCATACCAGATCCACCCCGTCCGTTCTTATCAGACCTACACACTTTTTTCATTATCTTGTGACGCAATGAGGAGTTCCGACAGCCTGGTTGGGAACCTCTGCTGTAGAAATATCCGAACAATGTGACTGATGTAATTTGTGTGCGTGTGTGTGTGTGTGTGTGTGTGTGTGTGTGTGTGTGTGTGTGTGTGTGTGTGTGTGTGTGTGTGTGTGTGTGGTTTCCAGGTGTAACATCCAGGGCTGCGTGATCTGCAGTAACGCCGTCATCGGCCGAGGAGCAGACCTCAAGTACTGTCTGGTGGGAAGCGGACAACAGATCGAACCAGAGGGTGAGCTCCACTATCGTAAACACGTAAATAATAATGGCTTTCTTTTCTCACAGCGATGGTCAACACCCTCTCTTGTCTCATTACCCCGGGAAGCTGAAAGTACATTTTAGGTGTTTGGATGTAGCAGAACAAACAGTAGTTGATCATTTTTGCGTCATTGACAATGAAAGAAAGGACAGAGTAAGCAAAGTAACAGAAACGCCTCACATCATAACACTTCAAACGACAGCCTACAAATCAATGCTATCTTTTGAAGCCCGCGGCACTTCTCCTCTACTGACTCCAATAAGGTGTTAATGTGTGTGTGTGTGTGTGGTATCTGGAAGTGCCAAGTGTTCAAGCCAACTAGGAACGTTTCTGAATTCTGTGCGATAGAGATTTATCAGAGATTTTTTTATTTTATTTTTTTTTTTTTATTTCCTTAATCCTCTTGTCCCCAAAGCTGTGTGTGTGTGTGTGTGTGTGTGTGTGTGTGTGTGTGTGTGTGTGTGTGTGTGTGTGTCACATTGATGGAGAGGTTAGAGAGCAGGGCCAGAACAGGACCACCCGGAATTCAACAGCAGCAGCCTCCAGCCACATCCAACACGCACGGACACACACACACATATAGAGAGCAAGCTCGGCTACCAGACTAAGCAGCCTAATTGAGTGAACAACAGGGTGCTCTAAGTAACAACAGTGTGAATTTGAGCTAAACTCGCCTAAAAAAAAAAAAATGTTTGAGACTTTTTGAAGCATCAGAACAGATCTTGCTTCAGCTTTTCTGAGGGACATGTTTCCCCACTGGCCAGCAACGAGCTGCTGACTTTATGTTGTTGAACACTGGAAACTTAGACCCCTGGTTGCATAATTGTTTTGCGTACACTGCATGGCCAAAAGTTCAGTCACACAATTGCAAAGTTCCGGCCTCTATGTCTCTGATGGACGGACAGTCTCTCTTTGTCTCACATTTTATCGTATAGTTTCTCTCTTTGATGTTATTTTATAAATGTTGTCTCTTCAGTAGACATTGTAAAGGGGATCTGCTGTATATAGTCAAGTGAAGTCAAGTTTATTTAAATAGCCCAAAACTGCAAGTTTTCCCTCAGAGGGCTTTACAGTATGAACAGCATGCAGCGCTCTCTTATTCTCAAAGTGAATACAGGAAACAAAAACAGGAGCTGAGAAAGAGCAACAGACGAACGACCCTGTCTCCCATGCCTGAAGAGGGGATAAAACCACATGGCTCTCGAATCACTGAGTTGTTCATAATTACAGAAATTTGGCGCATTAACTTTCTGGCACATGGAAGGACCCATGTGGTGGATATCAAAATCCATTTCACCTCGAGCAGAGTGAGAAGGAAATAAAAACATGCCTAAACTAAACTTTTATCTTAGTCTTGGATCATGGACAACCCTTTATGCTCAGTATCATGTTGAATACATTAATACTTAACAGTTTTTTGAATATTATATATATATATATATATATATATATATATATATATATATAATGTTAAAAAAAACTTTGGTAGAATCCCCAAACATCTAGTGGTTTATGGATCAGGCTTAGATCCGATTAGTTTCATCTCTATAGTGCGCTGCTCTAATGATAAACCTGCTCTCCTGTTTGCTTTCCTATTGTAAGAAAGCACAGGCTTGTCTCTAGCTACTAATCTAGCCTGCTGACCGCAGGCTGCGAAAGATATTACACACCCACTCCACTGCTGAAGCTGTTAGCAGCCAAGGACCACCCTGCTAGTTAGCCACACACACACACACACACACACACACACAGATACAGGTCCGTCAGGTGTTGATATTTAAAAGATACACACCTTTTCTCTGGGTGCTTTGATAAATACACACACGCATACATTACAACACTGTCTCTCCTCTTCTTCCCTTTGTCTCCTGAAGATGACACTACGTTCTTCTCTAATGGTGCATCCTGATTACAATCAACTAACAGTTGGTTAGAATATGTGCTGCTGACAACATATGGCTTATTTCTCTCCTTTATTTGTTGAATCAGGTCAGAGTGTGAGCTGTCTATTATCAATGGCCCACAGGAGAAAATTGTAAATATATATAGTCCTAATACATTTAAACCCTTTTCAGGATAAGTTACTGATGAATTAACAGACCCAAATAGAGTACCCCTCTCTCCCTTTCCCCCTTTCTCCCTTTCTCTGTAGTCGCTTCCTCCGCTGCTATCTAACGCTCCATTTGTCCTCCCCTCACTCCTCCACTGCAGAGCATAAACTCCTTCTGAGCAGCAGATTCCTTCACACTAAACGCCGTCTGTGTGGACGGAACGTTAGTCTCTGCCACCGTTTGCTTTGGATCAGGACCGGTGCTCTGAGCCGGAGGGAGGAGCAGCGTCTGCTCCCCTCGTGCTGAACTAGCTTTGGGTTGAGAGGGATAGCGAGAAAATGCTTTTTGTGAGGTTCAGGGGTAGCGGTCAGGGTGACCTATAGGTCTCAACACTCTGAAGGTTCTGCGACTGATTTCTAATACATCATAGCACCGTACAGTGCATGGGTTTGCATGTTGACTAGGCCTGTAATTTAGCATGAAAAGGCCTTTAAAGAAATGACTAATCGATTAAAGAAATCTTAGTTGACTAAGACCAAAACATCCGAGTAGTTGACTAATCGACTAAGAGGGGACAGCGGTTATCTACAAATTGCATACATATGCCAGGCAGACATTGGTTTCCATTCATTTCAGTTTGGTAAAATGAATATGCAGAAATGACTCAATGGGAATCACATTGGGGTAAACACTTCAGTGCCTATAAATCTTTGGTAAAAGTCTTCTGCGTCGTGTAATAAACACGGTTCCCATGGTTCCTTAAAGATTCTTGAAAGGCATTCAATCTATTCATCTCAAAATAAGGCCTTAATGGGTATTAAAATATCTAAAAATCAATCTTCCAAAGGTATTAAAAGTGCCAGCACATGGGAATAATTGGTGGTATCTATTTTATGAATAATTTACCAAATTCTTCTCGGATTAATGTCACCCAGCTCAGAGCAGATGTACCGTCTGTGGCAGTGGCATTAAATGTTTTTTTTTTTGGTGAAGATTTATAAAGCTGAAGGGTTTTGCAGATTTCTTAAGAGAAAAAATCAAAACGCTAGATTTCAATAGAAAACACAAGAATCCCCTTATGTTTTCAAACATCAGTACTGTTGATTGTTAAAACAAATGTTATTTATTTTTAGCTGAGAGGACTAACGAGGTCATCGTTGGAACGGACCAGCTGATGGAGATTTAGCTCCCACAGGGATGGAGTGGCATCCCCTCATTAACCAATCAGAGAGCAGCAAAACATAGCGGACAACTAATTCATCAGCTGACTGACCAACCGGAAGCCTGGATGCTGCTTGTGAACAGTTCTACACTCTCTTCTTCATAGGCGTTTTCTACATTGTGTCCAAATAAAACAAGTGCTTCAACCCATGAGTCAGCTTGTTGGTGTTTTTATTTGTTCATTTCAATTTAATTCAATTTATTTGTATAGCCCGAAATCACAACTTATTTTGTTCATCTTTTTGGACTTTTAGTGTTAGGTCTCCATCTCTTTGAGACCATGTTTAACAGAGACATCTTGACTAGTTGTCAGTAGAGCTGTGCAATTATTTTTGCCACATAGTTATTATCAGACTGTTGCCGCCTCCTGTAATGGCAGGACTCAATTCCTCAATTTACCCTGTTGGAGAGGGTGGACCCTCGTACAACGTTTGAATGTGCATGTTAGCGTGCACACTGTGCAGCTGTGAAGACCAGAGATGGAGGGGAAGAAAGCCGTGGGAGGGGTGACCACAATGGCGTGGGGGGGGGGGGTTAAGTTTATTTGTACACAAAAATGGTGTATGTGCAGGCCCCGGACCACCCAGCTTGATCCTGTATCAGTTAACACCGACACCCCGCCCTCACACACAAACACAGCGGAGGAGGAAACTGACTCGCGCCTGACACTTTTCTTTCTTTTCTTTCTGCTCTTCTCTCCGTCTCTGCTCACTTCGCTGTCACCACATTTATTGCATTCCTTCTGCAGGGTATTTCTTAAATTACAGGTTTTGTGTGTACGTGTGTTTGAGTCGGTCCTCTGTTTCCTATTGTCTGCAGGAGTCATTTAGGCTGTCTCTCGTGGCCTGATTACATGATGTGTGTGTGTGTGTGTGTGTGTGTGAGAGAGATCATGATGTCTTTTCTTCCATCTGTACTGGCCATTATTTGTGCTTGTTATCCTGTCAGTCAGAGGGACATGTTTTTATCATTATTCTTTAGGAAATGACAATAACTAGTGTGTCTTTCATCTGTTGCATCAACTATTTGTATCCATGTACAGTATACTGCACTACAATTTGAATATTGTTGGGTATCTAATGGAGAATAGTTTGAAATGTTTTCGTCCCCAAAACTGTCGAAAGTAGCTGGTTGATGATTCTTGAACTGTATTGATTTTACACATGGAGATCAGTTTACTCATGTGGGATAGAAACACTTGTATAATGTCTTCTGTGGCTCTGGAGGAGCTTCCTAAAGTCAGAGAATACAACCCTGATGATGTCATCAGGGTTATTTTGGGTTGGGATCCAAGACTTATTTTTTTGTATTGGAAATTCTGTGTTTAAGTTGCATTCGTGGAAATGTAGGATGCAACGTATTTTAAACCCAGCCTATGACGTCATACATTTATCAATTGATTTTTGAGCGTGTTTTTGATGTATTTTCCCACAATGCAATGCACAGAGGAAAGGCCGCTCACAGCTGGAAACATTTAGATTGTGTGCAGTGGTGGGACAGCTCCACCTACAATCCAAAGATCTCGGAAAACAAAACAAAAAGTCTTAAGGGAGATATTTCGTTTCTCTTTGTTAGGTTAGATTGGCGGCGACTTGCACGTGTTATCATTTCTCTTAAAATATGAAAGTATGTTTATTTTTTGTATGCTAGCAGCTCGAACAGTGACGATAGTATGTACGATGAATTTGGGATTCGGCCAGCCGTCTGCACATGGAGGAGTGAAAACCAAGGAGTCACAGTTGACTGATGTCCACACAAGAACAGATTCCATAAATGTGAGTCCCAGTCTGAAAAGATGAACTGCTGAATAAACAGAGTATTCTTCATGTGGCCCCACCGCTGAATTGTCTTCCCACTGTGTTTACTCTAGAAGGGGCTTCAGCTCACTGACAGAAATACTTCATTGTTCAGTATTTTTCCATTCCCCTTGTCTCACCTGTGTTCATCTTCCCGTTGCATGGTTCCCATTTCATTCACACTGAGAGTCCTTGTTTTTTCATCCTTGCATTATCAGTTATTTCCCTCTATATGTTGCAAATTTGAGTCACAACAAGGAAGTGATTTTTGTAGTTCTTCAACCTGGCGTTGTCATTTTCCTCAGACGACAAGCAGGACCGTAGAGGAGGTGAAAGACTACACATTTCAC